ACACACATACACACACACACAATGCCAACATGCAGGGTAAAGATCTGTAATGATCTTCTAGAGTAGCCATCTTGATCTCCAATTCGAAGTCTTCTGTCCCATTTTAAACAAATGTTTCTGCGAACAACCCAAAGGTTTTTGAGATCTGACTGCACAAGATCAAATGTAAAAAAAAAAGATATCTCAGATGTCTCCAAAGAACACAGCAAAACAATGTTTTTCTGTCAGGGAGTGGTGACAACTCAGGTGACAGCATACCAACCTGACAGAGATCTACTTACAGATATTTAAAGAAATAAGTTATAGTAGAGAGACAGAGACAAAATAAAAGTTTTTTCTTTGAGAACAATGCTAGGTACTGAGTTGACGGTCTGTAGTGAAATGTAGTTTATCAAGGATAAGATGTGATGCTAAGGAATCCTTGATTCAACTCACTGCCTAGTTTTCATCTTTCAAACCGGAGCCAGAAAGTGCAATAAAAACACTTAAAGGTCCAGTGTGTAAGATTCAGGTGAAAGGGGTCTATTGGCAGAAATTGAATATACAATAATCCTAGCAATGTTCTTACTAGTCTGTTTCATCTAAATTGTACAAATTGATGTTTCTTTACCTTAGAATGGGCCCTTTATATTTAAATACTTTATATTTACATCGAGAGGGGGTCCTCTATACGGAGGCCGCCATGTTTCTTACAGTAATCCAAACTGGACAAACTAAAACCTTTTGAGTTTTTACGACAACTGAAGTTCACCACAGGTTCTCTTTCATGTTTGGAAGTGCAGGGTGAGATGAGGGGTGTTCAGCTGCAACATGAAACTTCACACCTAAATTCTACACACTGAACCTTTAAGCTTCATTTGAAATATTCATGAAATCCTATGATTGAGGCTTATTACTGTTGTTCAAGAAAAAAGTTCTTGAAGAAGAAGGAATTGAAGATTTCTAATGTAAGTAAGTCATTTTTAATCAATGTAAGTCATCTCAGGCTGACGTCGAGCAGAACTGGTCATGCAAACTTGTGACCTGGCTATATTTGTACATGCACTCACTAAAATATTCAACATTTTCAGGTATTTCAAAAAGATGGGGACATGAATTTTAATTACACATGAATAATGTATTCACAATCTGTTCTCTCTCTATAGCACACACTTAACACACTTTTCAGCAGCAACATGCAACTCAAAAAAAAGCTAAGGCTGTGTGAGTTTTTGGGGTGGTTACTAAAAATAAATTGTCTGTCGGAATTTGATATTTCTATATTTCATTTCATTTTAATGAATACTTAAAGCTAGAGACAAAAATAAAAGATTAATTTAAATTCCCATGTGCTAAATGCTGTAAGGATCAGTACAGATGCTACTGTGTTGTGGAAATCCTGACAGAGCCAGGTAAAATGGTAAAACAAAAAAATATTTGATTTTGATTAATCATTGAGCTTTTATATGGATAACTAATTATCATGTGGCCTCCTCCCTGTGGACTTTTATTGTCATCTGAGGAGGAACGATTAAAGTCTAGGAACTCATACAATGAGTCTACAGGGAGCTGACATTTGGTGAGACGCTGGTATCATGGCACTAATACAAAATCTTTCTCTATCAGATTAACCGGTGGAGTGTTAAACCCAGGGTACATTTGATTTATTTTCACCACCAGATTTGGAAAATTTGGAAACTAAACCAATTACCATATGTAGTAGATGCATGAAAGGTTTAGAGTTTTGAGCCAATTACAGTCCAATTTGAGGACTTTGAAGACTTTTAAATAATGTGGGGTTATGTGCTGACAAGACTTGAATCAGGATTGTTGAAATTGAATTGATTTTTGTTCATAACAGTATCCTTTTCTATTTCTTCCATCTCTTGACTTGTCCAGCATGAGGCTCATGTATTATTTACAATCTGTAAATGGTGAACATGATTACCTTCCTTTAATTTACTAGTGCAGTGCCCATTCTAAATCTGAACATTTGGAATGGGCAGTTTTTTTGGCCTGTGGTAATGCTACAGTCCTCCTCAAACAGTTTGACAATTTACTGTCACTTTTTAATTGTATTTTATATACAGTCCATTGTGCAGAGTAAAGTTAGAAAACGTCATTTTACCCAGTTTATCTGCAATGAAGATTAAATAGTCAATACTTTTTATAAAATGAAACTGGATTTTCTTTATTATAGTTCACGTGTGGGGCTTTTGTTTGAAGGATTTAATTAACTGGTGTTTTTTAGTTCCAAACTTTTATCAATGTTCAATGATAATAAACTTTGAATAAACATTCGACCTGCACCCTGTAGCAGTGGCAGCTGGGACTCATCAATGTAAGTTATGACACAGCAATGGCAACAACTGATTCTCCAGTTCAGGGCTCTGTGTACTGAGTCAAGCTTCACCGAACTATAAATAAACAGGTGAACAGCTCTTCGTGCAGCACCAGTGACATGGTTTCATGGCTCTGTGGACTGAATCCTGCAGCAGGTTATTGCTTACCATGGTTCAATTACTGCAGGTCACTTTTCCAGTTTCAGAAAGAAAGCTACATCAAAACAGGCAGGCCTACAAGGGGCATTGGACAAATCATCACTTTGAGCTCCAGTTTAACATTAGCAACACTTTGAAGAAGTTACATTCTTGATCCTCTGGTGGGGAGTACACAAATCCAGTATAAAAGGAGACAAGGAAATTATGTCCTAAAACACATCTGCAGCTTTCCTCTTTCAATGGTCTGACCACCAACAGAACACTCACATTCACACGGAAAACACAGAGCTCCTTCTCTCTGGGCTGTTGCTATAGAGACACTAATAAGATTGTCAGAACAACTGAGATGTTTTTTCTCTGCTGTGGCTTAAGTGACAAGAGCTGCTGATAGCTGGAACACACAGACAGCACTGGCCCTTGAGCAAGGCACTAACCTTGCCACACTAATGTTCATGTTTTCATTCTGCCTATCTAACAAACAATCAAATAGTGGGTGTTCTAACTGGTGTTGCAGAATACTGTCAACCATGCTGTGGAGATTTCCAAGCCAAGGTGGCACTGTAGGAAAGAAAGGTTTCCATGGTGACTCGCTGCATTAGGCTCCATTTTATTTCTATGGAGTGCAAATGCTGTTTTTGACAGAGAGTAGATGAGGAGGAAACAGGTGCTGTCTTCCTGTCTACAATCAGCTACGATCATTACAAACATTTACTTGTTGGTTAAAAAACATCCATGGGCAATGACATTCAACAGGAGTGAGATCTATTAGACTAAATGAAATATGAGGTGATATTTAACAGACAAGCAACTGCTGAGAGCACAACTAAACAAAGCACTGGGTTTAATGTGAAACTAAGTAACTACAAAACTGCTTTAAGTCCAATTGTTACAACAGGATTCTGCATCAGATTCTGCACCCTTTAAGCCCAATTCATAGTTTCTGTGTTCGCCAGTCCACTGGGATCTGCTATGGTCCTCGTGACGTTAATGTCGTTATCCACCCATGTCTGCAAGAGTACACACAGACCCCTGTGAAGGCGTCCTTGTGCAGTCAACACTTATGTCACTTATGTCATAAGTGTTGACATGGTACAATATTGCCACCTATTAGAATGAAACGTGGGATCGCCTACACATGCATGGAACACCAGACTGACGCTGACCTTCATTTTAGTGTGAATGGAACTGTGAGCATGTGACTCTCAGAAAGTGTGGTCAACCCCTTTCACCTTTTCTCTGCACATTTGCATTATACTTCTCATCAAGTGTACATATACTTCTCCCCACAGTTTACCTGCCTGACACTGGTCCTTCAGTTAACACCTTCCAGCGTCTCGATACAGCTCTGAGTCTGTACATGTCACACGAGGACCACAAAGTAACAGTGTATGCGTACATTTTCAAATGCTAAAATAGTATCCTGGATATGGGAGTTATAGCTCCAGGATAATGCACTGTGCATTAACCAAAGATATATGTGCATATGCTGCATATCCAACCGCAGCGGTGTGACAAGGATAGTCAGAGAGAAAGTACACACAGTACCACTGCTGTCATTGCTGATCGTTATCTTTATGCTGGGGCTTTTCCTTACAGTCAACCTGAGGGTCTGATCTACTAAAGATCTACTTTGTGCTTGTAAAAACATGTGCAAACTTGATTTCACCTGCAAAAATACATGTTGGCTGGAGAAGAAGATGGAGAGAACAGGTTTTTTCTGCTCGTGTTAGCATGTTTGGATTGACAGAAGCAAAAATAATGCCTCTCTATCCAGGGTACCGATGGCCATCATCACATCAGATACAGCGCTGATCAGCTGCCTCGTGTGCGCTCTGTGTGCTCCAATGGCACATCTAATTCCATGCCATTAAATTTAGTTTTGTGCTTGGAGTCACTCTGCTCTCCATAATGCTAGGAAACCAGTTACGCAGGCTAAAGACTCATTTAAATACTACTGCCTATACCATGTTTGCACAATTATTTTTAGTAGATCACCTGGAAAACGCTCACCAAACAAATGTGCAATCGTTATAATGCACACGCAATTTAGGACTCTTTATTTGGGATCTTAGTAGATCAGGTGTGATGTGATTCTAAATTAGAAAAATACAGTCCTCAGACACCCAGTGAGCTCGGGGAGATGTCAATCTGAGAGGCACAACTCTCCATCAATTTGTACTTCCTGAGTGGTGACGGCCGATAATAGAAGGTTTATCAAGAGCAGTGGAGTGGGCTGATCAATAGGGAGTAAAGTGGAGGCTCATCCTGGGCAATGGAAGTTTAGCTGAAATCTTTGAGTCTGGTCCATTGAGGAACCAGCTGAACTTAATTGGGTATTATTTAAAAGGGCAGTTTTACAGATTTATAACACATTTTCAAATTCAATGGCTCTGGTTAACACCTTAATAGTTGATGCAGGCCACTAAAAAAAACCTACGACAGTAAGCAGTCAGGCAGTGAGCGAGCCATTTACAGTGGCTGATTGTCACGACAATGTAATGTTTGAATAAAGGATCTTACTTTGACTTCTTCCTGCAGTTTTCCAAACCGAACTGTGCCGTTCAGAATTCTGCTGATGAAGTGCTGCTTTTCCTGTTGAAGATCTGAAGCCTGGAGAGGGAGAGAGGGAAGACGGGGGGTTACTGATCTAAGAGAGGAAGTTGAATGAAAGACACAAAGGATTATGGGAGAGGTGGATGACAGGAAAGAAGAAAAGACTGTTGAAACTGCAGCCAGTTTACAGTAGTCATGTGTAAAGCACGAACAATGCCACAAACTGTCCATTCTCATTTTAATATGATCAAAGATCAAGAACTGTACATGTTCAGGATATAAAAAAGGAAATTAAAAACCTAACTAGCAATA